TAAACAGACACTGATATTGTTCTAATTGACTTACAACTCTTAAAGCTCTCACTCTTCAGAACTGAGAAATGCTATTAATACAAAAGGTTCTCCACAGCAGTGGCAAACATTTTGTGAAGGAGACTAACTACAAACAGCCATGTCAAAAAATATATCCTAAGGCTTATTATTAATGTATCAGCTAGCATAAATCACTGTAGCTTCACTGACCTCAATGCAGCCATGGTGAATTCATATTGAGAATACAGCTACATAAGCTACATCTCCTTTTATCACTGTACAATGGAAAAATACATTGAGAAGGATAGGATATGGTATTAACATAATATTTGAGGAACATTGCAGCTCATAGAATTAGTTGAAAAGAATTCCATTAAAAAGCTTCTACTAGTCTCACCTTCCATTTATTACAACTGCTTTGAACTTTAGGTTTTTAATTAAATAATTTTTCTGACTCCATTGACACACTTAATGCTTTTATCTCTAGTTCAGAAACTGTTCAGTCCTAGATTATTTACTTTGACAAATAACATTTTAGAATGCATGGTTATTGTTTGCTTTACTTGTTTGTTTTGGAGGGTTTATTTGGTGGGGTGTTTGTTTGTTTTGCTGTGGATTTTTTTAATGCCCAAACTAATGCCCAGTTTTACAGTGCAAGCTCAGATGGTTTTAACAGGACCAAACTCTAAATTCACATTGGAGTGAAAAATGCCTGTAAAACAATGTGAATTTTAAAATAATACAGATTGGATTCACAGTACAGTAAAATTATAACATAGTCCAAAATATGACACAGGACCAGAATTCCAGTAAAAATACATGTGAGGACCTTTTGTCTGCTGGCTGTTATCACGTCCGGAGATGATTTTTTGTACAAGATTTTTTAGAATAAACTTCAATAGGGGTTTGATATATGGAACAATAGCAGGATATGGCCTCTAAATGGTAGGAACAATTGCTGTTCTCAGACATGTGCAAGTTAACTTTCATTAGCTTTGTTAGATTTTGTGCACACTTTCTGGCCTAGATTCAGGGCTGCATCTAATTTCTCCTGGGGACAGCTGAGGCACTGAGTGTAAGTGAAGAACAGAAACTATTCTGTCTAAGCAGAATATACTGAGGAAAACTCACATGAGCCTCAAGAGTGTGACAGACCAGTTTGGGAATAATGTGAGAAAGTAATACAAGCAAACCCACTTTCTTTCCAGCTACACCCTTGATGCCTTGTAGGCTGCAGAGCAAAGGAAGAGTTGCCTAGACTGGCTCTACAATGGGTGGAAACTCTTCAGACCAAAGGAATTTTTAGCATGTAAATCTTCCAGTTTTATGGCAGGCCCACCCAAAAAAAAGCTCATTAGGATGGGAAAATAGATAAGATTTAATTTTGGAAGATGTATGTACAGACTTTTCTCTAGAATAGTAACTAACAACTCCATAGACATACTAGCTGTTTATATAGCTCAATTTTCGAAGGGATTTTTTTTTACAGAATTATTTGTAGTATAATATTTCCTTCAGTTCTCAGAAAGTGGAATATTCTATATTTTGAAAAGAGGACTTTCTATTTCCCTTTCCTTCATTGTTTGGCTCTGACTTTTCTACAGTCCCAAGCATAAATGAATTTCCTTCCCATTCAAGGGCCTTTATCTTTCCTCGACTGGTTTTCTTTACCTATTATTTAAAATTCAAGTATTTCTGTGATTTCTGACAGTTTCCCCATAAATATGTGAAATGCTGCTTTAGGCTGCATCTTCTAATTTTTAACAGGCACTGCTTCAGCTGCCCAAAGCCATTAATTCTCAATTTTGTGTAGCCACTCCAAGAGATCAACACAGATTTTTGCGTTGCCCTCTGATAAACCAGACTCGAGAATTGATTTGGCTGAAAAATAATTGATGGAAAAGAGTGTTTTTATACTTGATCTTCTGGCTCACATCTGCACAAACAGCTGCATGAACACATCAGAATGGGTGGGGCAGGAAAGAGAACAATTAGCTGAGGTAGAACTGCTTAAACCAACAATTACTACTCCTGCAGAAGTGCACATGGAGCCAAACAGCCTAAATGTGCTATTTTAAGTACCCTTTTAAATCCCTCACCTGTTCCAGAGCCTATTAAAAGAATTGATACTAATAAGGCAAGGATTATATCACTCCTGCTTACTGATGGAGCCAAATTTTGGCTCATTGTTTCCTTGTTCTGGTTGATTTGTCTTCTAATTAGATTGTAGGAAACATAATGGGGAAACATAAATGATCTTTTGGCCCACTTAACAACAATCTGACTTCTACTACAGTCAGTGCAAATTTTACCTCAGATTCAAAAGCAATTAGATTGTGTCTGTCAGGATATAATTTCCCCCAGATACTTATAATTCTGATTATTTTGTTTAAGAAGGGCAATCCTTCAGAGTAGCGTCACATCACTGAGAAATATATTTCTGCAAATAATTCTGTGTTTACTATAATAACTTACAGCTCTTTTCAAGTATAATAACCTGCACTTTTTAATTAAAACATTAATTTTAATCTGCTACTTGTAACAAGTGACTTTACTGAAATCACTGCGGCTTTAGAACAAGGTGAGCAATAGTGCTAAACAGCTGCAGTCATAAAGGAGAGCTACATCACTCCTAAATTGCATTGACCTAATTGCACAAGCATTCTGATTCTGTTGGTACTGCTGAAGAGTTTGTTTTTCATGCAGAGTTCATTTGGGACACTTGACTCCATGAGGCACAGCACTGTCATCAACCAACAGGAAAGAATCTGCTAAAGTTAGCAGAGCATAGAAGTACATTCAGGGTTTCTTGTAGTAAGAAATGTTAAAGTCTGATACTTTACTGCAGCAAAGGACGAATGAAACACATGCTGCTATTAACCGAAGCCATATTATCCAAAGAATAAATGCTCCTTCAAATAGAAATGGAAAATTTCCATTGAGCTATGAAGAACATTTTGTGAGGCTGCAGTTCTCTCTACTTCAAGATATCTGATAACAGAATTCTGTCTTCCTGATTCCACTAGTTTCCACAGCTGTGTTTGTATATTTGTTGTTGTCTTTACCTAGACAGTTGGTATGCATTATATGCACTAAGGTAAAGTAAGAGCACAACTATAGGCAAATACAGCAGAGAACATCACCTTTTCCCAGAAGTGGAAAAAGGAAGGTTTTTCTAATGATTAAGTAATACACTTAGTTTACCCTTTCATTCAGGGACCATTTGCAATATAATATGTTATCAAAAAGTTATCACTATTTATTATCAGTAGTCTTGATTTTGCATAAGGATATCAGTCCTAGCTCTGAGCCTTACAATGAATCTTCCAAATATCTGTTGCAGTGGAGTGAACAATTAATCTTTCTGTCTGAATTGTAAGCTTTTGCAATTACAATATTTGAATATTTTTATAAATATTGGTGTTAAATAATATAGGATGTTAAAAAAAAAGAGAAAAAGACAGAATTCAATACCTGGAGAAACTATTTTCCCAAAAGCAACAGAAGGTGTCACTGCTAACTGATTTTAAACAAATGAATCCCTCAGTAGAAAACACTGTCTTTGTTTTGAAAGAAACTTCAACATTGTTTGGGAAGGTAATTGGGTTCCCTTCTCAAGTATTCGCCAGCTCCAAACATAAACATTACATTTAAAAATGGAAAAGACTGCTTCACACCATCTAATTCTCCTTTCTGTTTGCTATTATTCCCTGCAGCTGTTTTACTTCAGGCTATGAATCACAGTCAAAGCAAGAGGAGTTTACCCAGTATTTGGACAGAAACCTCCAAAGGGCCTTTTAACCCATTAGTATAGGAGATCTAGTAATTTCAGAAACATAATTTAAGATGCTGCGAAAATTAATATGAGGATGCTGGAGAAACCATTTCCATCAAGAAATGTAAAACTGAGTCTCCAAGTAGTTTGAAACTGAAATCTTTCTGTATATTTCATTTCAGCTTCTGTAACGGCTGTCTGTGTAAACTTGTGATATTATTTTAACTCTGTGTGGCAGTCCTCACCCCCTTGTCTTCCTTGATACTGTAGTGTTGCTAGTCTATGTTAAACAGCTGTTACAGCCCATGCCAGAGATGGCTGCATAACACTGACGGGTGAGGTGTTATTTTCTAAATATACTTAGAGATTTTGAAGTACTTTGTGGCTGCTTGCAAGTCTCTCCATTCACAGACATCTACATGTGAGGCTAATGTAAAACAGTAATATAAAACACATTTCCTCTCCTTAATAAGCTTAATTTTTGGTTTCTGGAGAACAGCAGAACTCACATCCTTTTTCCTCTGGACTTCCCTTCCCTAGAGGTCCCTGCCGGGCTGCCCGCGCCCAGCGCCGTGGTCTCACCGGGTCATGGCTGCTGGCTCTGCAGCTGCGGGCCTATGCTCCGAGCTGCTATTTACTGGCTGGGAATTGCCAAAGCTGTAATTAAAAAAAGATATATTTTTTATTTATATACATATAAAGCCCGTGGCTTTTAGCCATCACGATTGCATGCTTAATAGCGGCATCCAAGCACTCTCTCCAGGCTCCCAGCCTGGCGGCTCCAACACAGCCCTCTCCTTCTCTTCCCCAGAGAAAGGCATTTCAGGTCACTTGAATTATTTAGCGGGGTGTTTTTAACCATCTCAAGGGCTTTGCTCCTGCCGTGCGGCGCCTGCAGAGCTCGGGTTTGTGGGTTTATTTTATTTTTTTATTTCTTTTTTTTTAGCACGCGAGGTGGAGTTGCTCCACTTCCCTGGCAGAAGGAGGAGATAAAGCGCGGGGGGAAGGCGAGAGGGGCGGCTTGGCGTGTGGAGGGGAGGGGAAAGGCCGCCACACCTGCGGGCCGCGCTGCCCCCTCAGGCCCGGCCCTGGCCGCCGGGGCCGCTCACCGGCTCGCTCTAACGCAGCTCTCTCTGTCTCTTCTTCCTCCCCCGCTCCCCCGCCGATCCTCCTCTCCCTCCCGCTCCTCATTCATCCTCCCCTCTCCCGCCCCCTCCCCGTGCAGGCGAAGCGGGCGCGGCAGGAGGCGGAGCGGGCCGCCGCACGTCCCCCGGCCGGCCGGCCGGCCCCCCCGCCATGGGTCGGAAGCGCTGCGTGGGGGGAGACGGCTCCAAGATGGCGGCGGGTTGCTGCGGGGTGAAGAAGCAGAAACTCTCCAGCTCCCCTCCCTCGGGCTCGGGCGGCCCGGGTGGCGGCGGCGGCGGCTCCCACTGCGGCGGGGCGGCGGCGGCGGGGGGCGAGCCGGGGGCGCTGCCCCCGCCGGGGGGCCCCCGCCTGAACGGCATCGGGGGGCTGGCGGGGGGCGCCGCCGGCTGCGCCCTGTCCCCGCCGCTGCCGCCCAGCTGCGGCGGGGGCCCCGCCGGCCTCTCCCCGCCGGCCTCCTCGCTGCTCGCCTCCCCCGGCTCCGGCGGGCCCGGCTGCAGGAAGATGGTGGTGTCGGCCGAGATGTGCTGCTTCTGCTTCGATGTGCTTTACTGTCACCTGTACGGATACCAGCCCCCGCGGAGCCCCCGCTTCACCAACGACCCATAGTGAGTATCGGCGCGACCGCCCGCGTGGGCGCCTCGTGCGCGCCCGTCCCGCCCGGCTCCCCCCCGGCCGGGCTCCCTCCCTCACTCCCTCCCCGCCGGCTCCCGCCTCCCGCCCGGCACCTTCCCCGCTGCCGCCGCCCGGCCGCTGTCCTCGCCTGGCCCCACGCCTGTCCCCGGGCCCGGCCCGCGGGCGCCCCCGCTCCCCGGGAGCCGCGCTGCCCTCCCGCGCCGGGCTCGCCCCGGGGAGCGCCGCGCTGCCCGCCGGCTCCATGACTCCTCCCCGGCCCCTCTCGGCCCGTCGCTCCCGGGGCTCGCTGGTGACATCTCCCCCGTGATCCCTCACACCTCTAGCAGCGCCCTGCTCCGAGCGGCCGCCTTTGTGGCAGGCTCCGCGGGCAGTGCCCTCTCCCCGCTCGTGGTCTGTGTTCAGCAGCCCTCGAGTAGCTCCCTCCTCGCTCAGTTTCACCAGTTGTCCTTACTGGGACCCCTCCACTAGGCAGCCTCTCGCTGTCCGTGTGTTCGGCGTGAGGGCGGGCCTCTCCTTCACCAGTGCTGGATGGTGAGTACCCAGTGTAAGAGCCCTGTGTGCGAGTCCTGGATTTGTGAACACTGGTGTACCTGTACATTCCCCGTGCCAGGCACTTGTAACGCTACTTTGGTCTCATACCGTTCAGAGTCCTTGCTTTGTAATGACTCGTGAAGATCACCCAGTGTTAGACATCCCGAGTCCCTGAGTAATCCACCACATCAAATTCCCAGAGTTTTGAACAGATCACATAAACACCTGTTACTCCCATCCTCCCTCTGCCTCCCAAGCTTCCTTGCAAGAGTGTCCAACAAGGGCCTGTTTTATTCCCATCCCTGGCCACTCTTGTTCAGTGTTTGTCTTGAACCCTGTGCCACACTGCCTTCAGAAGTGACCTGCCAGGACCGTCTTGCCCAGCATGTCAGCACCTGCAGCCTGCCTGTGCTGGGGAGCCGGGCATGCTGCTGCAGATAAGCTCAGACACTTCAGGGAGTAACTTCTCTCTGACAGGAAGTTCCTTCCTCTCAGCCGGGATGAGTTACCGAGTTGCTGCATGATCCAAGTCCGTTTGATTGCAGAGTTAACGCAAGGGGTTGTTGAAATTGAGTTTCCGCTGTTTTACTTTGCTTTTAAATGGAACTGAGCTCATGTGGTGAATTTCCAAGCTCCAGCTGAGACTCGACTGTGTTGGTCCACCAGAGTGCATGTCACTTTTTTCCTATTATGTATAGCATGACTATCAAGTTTGTGAGAACCTGTGCTTTCTCAGTCTTTAATGAGTACAGATTTTCTGTGTATGTCCTGGACCCTCGTGCACCTTCACCAGTGCAAACAGTTATTGTGCAGTCTGTGTTTCATTAATGAGATGTAGTGTATGCTTCTTGGTGTTTAAAAATGTATTGATAATCTTATTTGTAGTCCTTGCTGTTCTAACACCCAGGATCTATACATCTCTTGCATACTTTCAGCTGCTGTCATGACAACCCAGCTCTGTGGATTCCTACTTAACCTGCCACCCCAGCAAGTCTTCCCTATATGCTCTTCATAACTCCTATGTGATTTCATCAGAGTACCAATAATGAAAGGAGGGCAGGGAGACTCCACTGTGAGTTTCTTTACCCAGGTCTTTTGCAAATCCATGTCTGTCCTTTTGTAGATACCAACTGTTCAGCAACTGCTGCTCTCAGTAGCCATTTTACTGTGCATTGTCCTGTGTCTGTTCTCCATCCCAGACCACTATAGGTTGCAACATCAGCTTTGTGCTGTTTCACTTTTTCATTGCTGTAAGAGAGTTGAATTTTGTCTGTCTCTGTAACAATATTACATTGGTGTTACGCTTTTCTATCTGTGTTGTAGAATGATTTCTTGAACAGATTAGTTCTGCTGTCTGTTTTATTACTGGAGGAAACTGATGCAGGGGTGAAGACTTCAGCACTAAAATGTTTTCCAGTAAGCACTTTGATTCCTCTTAGTAAGCGGTAAATCAATTTAATTTTTTCCCCCTGCTTCTTACTTTAACAACAACACAATTGCAAACTAAGTAAAATTATTTGAATTTTTCTGAAATTCATGTGTTCTTCAGATTTAGTTGCTAGACCTGGTGAAAAGTTGTTGCATCAACTTCTGAAATTTTTGACTTCAGAAAGTGGCACTGTCATTAAAATTAGTACTGTAATTTCTGATTATTCCCATGCTTGTGCCAGCATGCATGGCTGTATAGATCAGGAAATGATCTAACAATAATTTTATATTTTTCCCCAATTGGTTGCAGAGTTTGGTTCTCTCTGGATCATTGCATGGCTTCACAAACATTTGTGCCTGCACAATTGTGAGGTAGGAATAAGCAGACAGATGGCAGAACTGCTGCTTTCAGCAGCCTTGTGAGCTGATTATGTTTGTGCAGTTGGGGATGCAAGTTTGAAAAAGTTGTTCAGTATTACATGTAAAATTATAGGTCGGTGAATAAATTGCTCTTGCTAAGTGTTCAGAGGCAGCATGATTTCTAGCATTCACAAGATTTGCAGGCAGTCTTAGTGATAACTGGGTAACTCACAAAGATTAGATGTTGGCTTTGAAGCTGGGTTCCATCCTGTACAGCAAAAAAATCCTGAATGAGAGCTGGTGTTTTTCAGTGAATGGGTATTGCAGCTTTCTGCCTCAAGTTCATTTGGAGGTTTTGTCTATGGACTGATATATGTGGTCAAAGAGCAGTGGCCTAAAATAAGGGTTTGTAGGTAAATGATAGAGTTATTTTTTAAAGTGATGTTAATTACAGGGAGGATGAAAGACCTGTGAGCAGGTGTCCTCACACAAACATGATTCATATTCCTTGCAGGTCTTTGAACAATGAAACTGGGCATGATCAAAGAAAAGCAGGTGGCTGAATCACTTGGACAAGGGGTTCTGGCATGATGTCTTTGGAACAAAACCTGCTTGTGACACCTCTGGATTTTTTCTCATGCCAAGATGAGGACAGCATCAGGGCAGCAAATTCAAGGCAGTAGGAATGAGCTGAAAAGCTTGTTTTGAAAGGGTGTGGGTTTTGAACTCCAGGGCAGCCCATACATGGATGAAACAGTTGGCATTTTCCTATCTCTGGAGTTCCTGAAGCACAGAGAATAGGGTGTGGAGGGTATTGCTGGGGAGGTGTTGGGTTGGAGGGGGTGGTGACTCATGGAGTTAAAAGAAGATAGCTGGAAGACATTGAATATCTCCAGCAGTGTTTTGTTGAGAATAGGCTGAGCAAGTTCTTTCAGCCATAACTTCCTCTCCTCTTGTTGCCTCCATGGATCTGTTAGCATTTTATTCTGTCTCTCTTAATTGAAGAACTTTCTCATACCTTTATTTCACTTCACTTTTGGTTGCACTCTAAGCCACCCTTGCCCTCTTCACAGGATGTGTCCTGCAGGGCCTGTACCTGGCTTCCACCAGTGTGATGGCTCTCACACTACAGGTTCAGAAGGCATGTAGAGATTACCCTGGCAGTGTGAACACTGATACAAAATTTGAAAATTGCTGACCCAGACAAAATTGTCTCTAGGACAAAGTGTTGTTTAGATGTTGATTTTGAGACTCAGTTTCATGAGTAAAACTACAGGACACGGAACTTGTCCATAGAAATGAATTGTAAGGGAATGCAGGAAGAATTGTAAAAGCATTTTAACCTACTCATTTATGGAGAATGAAAACTGAGTAGCCTTTTTTACCTTTCTGACAAGTAACTTCTATCCCTTTTGCTTTTCTGGTTTGGTCTTGTGCAATACACAAGATGGGCCATTATGATTAGTGGAAACAATATTGTGTCCTGCCTTCTGTTGTGAAAGTGGAAAGGAGGTGTCTACCAGTGTGAAGGGGCTCAAGGTTTACACTACTGCTCACTGCTGTTTTCCTTCTAGTAGGAAAATGTTTGAGTGGAAGTGCAAGAAGGTTGTGACAAGAGAGGGAGGGTAAGTGTGTGAAGAGGAGTTCAGTTGAAGCTGTGCTGTGGGGAGTGAGGAGGACTTTTTTCTTAGAATCTCACATCTCTGCTGCCTGTAATGATTTCCCTTGGCACACAGAAATAATCTTTCTGAGTTTTTGTCCTGCACAGTGTCTGCTTCAAGCTCTTCATCTTGCCTACTTAATTTTAATATCAACATCTTTGTGGAGAAGACATTGTCTGGCAGTCCATCAGGTTAACTTTTTTGTCAGTTGTTTGCTTTTTGTAGTCTCTTCTTGAAGGTTTTGGCTAGTGAGCAGGATTATTTTAGTGGTGCCCACCTGTATTGACACAATGTGTAAGGGGAATCATCTGTTCTGCCCCTGACATCTGGTACTTGGTAACCAAGAACACGGGTTTGCACCTGGAATGAGAGTTGGGGCCTGTGCCCTGCTTCCCACCTGTCTGAAGAGCTCCTTGGAAGTTGTGTTCAAATGCCTAGATGAAGACTGGCTCACATCTTCCTCATCTCAGAGGTCTGTGCTGGAGGCAGTGGGTGGTTCCTGTAGCTGAGCTCTGTACCTGTGGTGGTTCTGAGGCTTTGGGGAAGCTGACAGCCCTGTGTGCATGAGGAGGTATTGCTGGCTACCACACTCTTTGCTAGGAATAATCTCTATGGTTTGACCATCTTCTGTGATTGATGACCTCTGGATTAAAATATTGTCCAGGTGATAGCCAATTTGGAGCTGAAGACTTAGCTCAGAAATTTATCTGTTCCTTTCTTCGTTGATGACTTGTGGTGTTTTGCAGCAGCTGTCTGGCTACAGGACAGAGGTGCAGCCATGTTGATGTCCCTTATTTTAGTATTTCATTGTGTTTTCAAGTCTAAGATTTGTTAAATTACATAATCTGAAAGGGTATGGGGTAGCACTACTACACTGCCTTAATATTTTGTTAGTGAAGTTTGGAAACATTTCAATTCAATACTGTTTAGAAATACAGAGTTAGCTAGTCTTGTGCCCATTAGTTTCCTCACTCAAAGACTTTTAAGTTGTG